GTATGCATTAAACAACATTTACGATGTAATTTACAATGCATTTGCATTTTCCAGGCAGCGACATGTACATGAACTGATATCGATCAAAATCGAGTTTAAAAATCACAATTGGACACATCAAAAATATTCATCGATTCAAGTAACATTGCTTAGAAATTACAAGGACATTGTAACAATTAATTCCACATTAACACATCAATTCCACCAATTAACTCAAGTGTCGAAACAATAATTATCAACATGTCGATATTGAATAATCAACCCGATAATAATCATCAACTCGTGAAATTCAGCAATTATGAACAATTATCAAACCAGAACCAAACTTTAACGCGCAAGTTTCAACAATTAAAAGCATTTATCGGGTCGATACTCGTGAAATTCAAACAATTAAACAAAAGCTCATCCGGTTATGCATTTGTCCATAATGATTTATTCAAAAATCAATTTAAACTCAACAATTTAATTATTTAACTCATGAAAACATATAAGTACTTAATTCAAAATCACTTAAAAAATAAGCACTTAAGTCAATTGAATTCAAGAGTTATTACCGAATCGACGTGAAGAGGAGGAATCGGAGAATGGAAAAGTGATCGGAAGCTTGCTCTGAAGAAACCGGATGCGGAGTGAACTCGGATGCGAGATTGGAGAAGATCGGAGGGAGTTCCAACCGGGGTGGAAGGGAGGGTGACCGGAAGAGCTCCGATCGGTTTTCACTGAGAGATGAGGGAGGAGCTCTTGAGATTTTTTGCTTGCTTGAGAGAAACTTGAATTTCTTTAGTGTGATTTTTGAATAGAATGAGCAAAAAGTGATTATGATTTGAATATAAAAAATATATAGGCAAGCCCCTGAGTCTCGTTTGGCAAATGATATAAAAAGAGCAAATTCCTTTGTTTTTTGAGTTTGCAGAATTTTCAGCTTATTTCGGTGTACGGTGCAAGAATAATCCACAAGCTCATCACTTTCGGTGCATAATTTCGATGCGAGACTTGAAGAAAAATCGCCAGTGACGAAATTTGTGACGCAATGCCAAAAGAACCTCCCCGATATGATTAAAACCGAGAAAGTTGTGGATTTCACAATGGCGAGAAACTTGAGACAGAAAACCCTCAGTTTTGGGTTGTGCAGATTTTTCAACTTATTTTGGTGTTCAACTTTGGAAACAAGCCATAAAACAAAGTCTTTTGAGCATAATCTGAACTCGGGCCCTGAAGTAAACTTGTAGCTAGAAAAATTTGTGACACGGTGCCGCAAGAATCGTCTCGATACAATGAAAATTGAGAAAGTTATGATTTTTGCAATATCGAAGACAAAGTCAATAAATAACCATTTTGGGGTGTAATTTTCTCAAGTAATTCATACTCTCAGAGATATTCTTCAAAGGATTAACTTCTGACTTGAACATACGAATTGAGGATAATATGAAGACAATTTTTATTCCTAAAGAATCGCTCATAATTTTTCAGTCATAAGTCATGAATTTTTGAACGTGTGATAAACAATAGACCAACAATCCATTTCACCGCACCATTTTCAGGTAATTTGTATTTTTGGAAGTCTTCCTCACTGAATCAGTTTCCGACACAAACATATGAACTGAAGAAAATAACAAGCCAGTTCAAATGCTCCAAGAGCCACTCAAAGATGATTTTCCGGTCATAAGTAACAAATTTTTGAACATTCGAACAAACACTTGACCAACAAATCTACTGTATAACATGATTTCATGAATTTTGTGCTTTTTAAGATCTTCCTTACAAAATTAGCCTTCTTTATTGGTAGAAATATTGAGACTAAGCCATTGGATTTACTTAACTCATACAGATCAAATAAAAATCGCCAACGCGCTTTATTGTTTCCAAAGGAAATGGGAAAAGAGAGAATAAACCCAAAAAAAAGGGGAGAGAATCTAAGTGCGAGGGTTGGTTATGCAAAGGGAAGGTATTACCACTATAAACATCTATGATACTCTACGGGAACCTCTTTGAAAATCTGTGTATTTTGGATATAAAAGGTATTTACAAAATAAGATGGTGGAGATGAGAAAAGAAGTATTTTCTACAATTTTGCACCCGCCGCAGTTGTGAACCTTTAGTGCCTATGTACCATCTTTCGTGTAATAGGGGATCAGGGTACTCGTAGTTCACCTTAAAAATTTTAAAACGCATGTTTGTTGGTTAGTTTTAAGAGAAGAGACATCATCGTCATATTCGAGTGGAAAAACATACTTACTACTCACGATTATGAGAAAGGAGAATTTACATCATCTCAAGGTGGAGGATATGGCTTGGATTTTAAAATCAATAAAGCCTCACTCAACACCCAAGTGGAAAATATCTCACTTTATTATATATCATAGAAGTATAGTAGCTTGCATCACTATAAGAATTGACAAGAGTCTAATCTTTTGAGAAAAATGTTTTAAAATAAAAAAGTCAAAGTGGCAAAATGGTTTGAATGAGGTTAATAACTTTTAGTCTTTCAAAAAGATGTCAAAGTATGGTTAAATTGATTAAAGTTTGATTAAGAAAAGATTTACGAAAATACATGGACCTAAGTCCAAGTTTATTATGAAAGTGGTTCAAGTTAGAAAATAAGAAGAGTTTTGAAAATGAGGGAGAAAATTTTTGAAATTAAAGAAGATATGAGGAGATGAAGGAACTATCCTAAAGCACAAGGCAAAAGTCAAGGAAAATATGATCTAACCAATAAGAAGCCAACACTTGACATATGAAGTCAATGTAGAATTCTCATCCTTTGGATTGAAACCAAGCAAGCAGAAATACTAAACCTCTGAGAAATACCAAGCTCTAGATGAATTAAATCTTCACAAAAATTGGGCAGAGTAACGACTGTATATAGAGGAACTCTCAATCACAAACAAAGCATATAATCAGAGTAACCTGCAGACAAATCAAAATCAACCTAATGTCTAAGAGTAAACCCCAAGAACTTCATACCAAATAATAACAGAGTAACGAGGTCCCCTAATATCAAAGGTTCTAATCCTAAGTCTGGGAGATCCACAACTCCATAATACCAAGGATAGTAACCAAATAGTCCAAGTAACCTTAAGTTTTTTAATGTTCAAGTTGATTATTAAGTATTTTCAAAAAGAAAATAAAGCTCGAGTGAGCAAAGATAAAAATGACATAAAGATAAATGCTCAAATGAACAAAGATAAAATGGCATAAAGATAAATGCTCAAATGAGCAAATGGAAAATGACATGGAATGTAAATATTAAAATAAATGATGCATACAAGTAAAGACACAAAAATAAAGGCATAAAGTAAAGGTAATTGTTAGTGAATTAGAAGTTAGAAGTCAAATACAAGAGGTTAGTTGAATGACCATTTTGAAGCTTGCTTTTGAAAACTCATTAGAAGATTGATAAAATTAAAGCTTCTCAACAACAAAACTCATTTGCTTTTTGTCAAGTATATCATTCTGTTCAAATACTCAAAGCAACCACATATGATCAACGATATTCAAATGATTCACTTAGACCAAAGTTCATGAAGTTCATTAGAGGATTGATAAGATCAAAGTTTCCTAACAATGAACTTCAAAGTTATTGGATTAAGGATTTCAAGTTAAACATACTTGGGCTTGCAAACATAGGTTTGGGCCATAAATGATCACTCTTTGAATCAGGACAAATTTAACACTATATTAAGCAATTGTAAGTGAACTTATGTAGAAGTCGCACCTATTTTGAGGCTGATCAATAGCAATGTATGTACTGCACACGTTAGAGATGTGATAGAAACCACACTCATGAAACTTATAGCACAATAAAAGTAAAAAAGAAATAAGATGAAGAATGAATAGATAAGAATTACATTCCACATTTGAACCAAATAATTTAATCAAGCTATGATTAAAATCATTCATCCATTTTGGTGGAGTTAAACTCAACACCCAAGATCCAATGATGTTAATAAAACTTATGATTAAAATTAACATAGTTCAAGATCAGCCAGAATATATACAAAAATAAAATTGCATTTAATAGTAAAAATAGAATGAGAAAATGATTTTTTAAATTGTTTTAAAATAAAAATAAAAGACAAAATAGCAAACTATATTCAAAATATCAAATACAAAATAAAAGAGACTATAGAAAAGTCAGACATGATCTCAAGTATTTTTGCAAAAATTTTGGTAATTTTTTAAAACAGAAAAATATTTTAAACTATTCAAAATCACTCAAGTAAGTGAAAAATGATTAAAAATAATAAAAATCAAATTAAAATTCCAGAAAGTCAGAAATAAAGAAAATGATCTTTGTGAATTTTTTTCAAAATTTTCGAACGAAAATTGAATTTTAAATGAATTTTTTATATTAAAAATAAATTATAACTAAAATAGTAAAAAAGAAATTAAAGCAGAAAAATTTGTAGCCCTTAGATCGAGTCAATAGACTTTTTTATGTGGGATCTACGATCCCGAATAAGAGGTGCACAGTAATAGAATGCACAGACACGCCGGAGCCACTTGTCCTCCAAGCTACGGTGGTGCGGTTCCTGAGGAGATTGAATAGAAATAGACAAAAACTAAAAACAACAAAAATTAATCACGTTACAGTGTAACGTTTTACTTCATTTTTAGAGGAGAAACTCTCTCTCTCTATATATATATGTATATATTCATCACCGGCTTATTTCCTTTTCTTATCTCATTTCATCATCATGGTTTCATAAAAAAAAAAGAAAAAAAGAGAGAAGGCCGGTCGGAGAAGAAAGAGAGAAGGCGGAGGGAGGCGGCCTCGCGGCGGCGGCCGGTGGGTCCACGGAGACGCCGCTGTGGAAAGCACTTATTCAAAAAAAAAAATTATACATTTTTTAATTCCTTTTCACTTCCTTGTTTCAATCTCAAGTTAGTTTTAAAAAAAACAAGGAGGAAGTGAAGATCTACAAAAGAGTTTTTTGAAATCTTGAGCTTAAACAACAACAAATCAACTCAGAAATGTAAAAGGAGGGCGGAATTGGTTTATGAGAAGGATTATCAACTTTCTGAAGTTAAGAAGAAGAAGAACGGTGGTTGATGACTCTCAGACGTGGCGGCTTTTCTTTTCCGGTGGCGGGAGAAGTCTCATTCGTGGCGGATTTCGGAGATTCGAGAGCTTCAGAGGCGGTTTCCAGCGACTGGCTCTAGGATTCTGGCGAAGAAGAGGTGAATATATATTTATTCTCTTTGTTTTGAATTTTTTTTGTCAGTGAATGAATGAATCAGCCCCAAAATGTGTTTTGTTAATGCTTAAATAGTGCAGTCTCTAGGGCTTCTTTGAACAAAGTTTGGTTGAGATTAGGTTCACATGACATGTTGATTTGTTGCTCAAAGCCCAGACGAAAATGCCTTGTTTAGCCCATAAATCCCACTGTTTTTGTTTATTTTGATATTAAAATGAATACAAAAAATGGGCCTGAAACTGTATGAGCTTTCTTTGATTTATTGAACTTGCAATCTCTTTTGAATGGATTTGGAAAGAATGGTTGAAGATTATTTAACTTGTGATGCTATTTTGGAATGTTAAAACTTGAGAGTTCAATTGAACATTTTGTGGTTTTGGTTGTTTTGATTGAAATTTGAATTTGTTCCAACCTCAAATATCTTGAATGCCTTAACACAATATGTTAATTTATATTCCACTTTCCTTTGTTTTCATGTACAATGTGGTGTTGAGCATGAAGGATAAGAAAGCATGAACGGCTTTAAGAAGACAAAAGTGAACCGCGGTCATACTTTATAAGGGCAAGGATTTAGCGTGGAGTGAAGTTCAAATGCACAAGGAGGCTTTGAAGTTTGAAGAAACTTTGTTGTAGTTTTGGATTTAGCATTAGGAACTTGAAATATTTTCTTGTGAATTGATAGAAATTTAAGCACTCTTGTAAGTTGAATATGAGTTGATGTTTGTAGGAAACTTGAACATTCATTTATGTTTAGATGAACTTGAATGAATCTTATGAGAAGTTATTTGAAATTTCAATCCTTGAAGAATGAGGATTCCAATGAAATAAGTGAAGTTGTTTTGAAATTCAAAGAAAGGAATTTTGGCTTGAACGGAACTTAATTCTTTTGAACCATCTCTCTTGATAAATTCATGACATTAGGGCCTTGAATTCATGAAAGAAAATTGTTTGAGGTCTTTGGTGAATGTCATGAAATTTTCAAATTTGCAACTTTCCAAAATTATTAAAATCTTGATTGAACCTACAATTACAATAGTTGAATTCTCCTTTGTAATTTTGAGAAATCAAATGTATCAATCCAACACCGTGCCATGAATTACATGATGTCTTATAAAAACAATAAACCCTTCTGTAATACAGTGAGAGAATTCACATGGGTGTTTTGTATTTTATCACAATTGTTGCGGATAGCAAGAGTCGCTACAGACTTTTCTTTTATCCAATAAAGGAAAGGGTGAAAAGAACAAGAAAGACCCTTTGAGATATTTTCTTGAGTTCGGGGGTAGGTTATGAAAAGGGAAAATGTTAGCACCCTTTTCATCCGTAGTTATCTACGTGCTCTAGTTGCTAGCTCACTTTGAAATGCTTAATTTGAAATGTGTTTGTGATTTGTTTGAAAGTATTTTTTTAAAGTGTCTTTGTTTAGGCGAACTTTGTAATGATTCTCGTCTTTATAAGAATGTTTACAAAATGTTGACTTTTGAAAATAGTTCATGAAAAGTGTTGGTGCTTTTGAAAGATGTTTTGAAATGTTGTGAGTAAGCAACTATGAACGTTCTACCTATTCAAAAATTCTTTTTTCATTTCCTCCTCCTTTAGATATTGCTATCTTTCCATTGATTGGTAAGAAGCCCTATCATTGGATGTGAAGGGACAGGGGTGGGTCATTGTGCAATCATATAAGGCAACATTGTGAGATACCTTAGCAATTTATCTTAATGGTCTAAGATCATTTACCGAAGGCAACGTCGAAGGGTCGTCGAGGGACTACAATCTTGTATTCGAGGATCATTGCTAAAGTATCCCACGTTCGAGGGATATGACTTTATTTGAAGGCAACAAGTGGGGTATACCCTAGAGGTGCAAGTGTGAAAAGTGTTTTGATTGCATGCATTTTGTCTTTGAAATTAGGGTTTTCTAAGATTTGTCTTTTATATCTCTTTCTCGCAGAGAAATGCCTTGATTCCATGAGTATAGACCCTAAAGTATAAGACAATTCGGGTTAATATGAAGAAGGTGAATTTTGGAGTGTAACACTGGTCACCATCATGATCATGTGTACCCTTAAAGATCGGCAGGTTGTTTCGTTGAAACCTTTCCAAAGCACGAAACTCATCATCCCCTCCAGCATTCTGGAGATTTTGCTAATTATGGGCCATTTCCTGATCCAATGACTCCAAAGCCTCAAAAATTTTATCATCATTTCTTCCTCTAGACATTTCTCTCTGTATATAGGCAAACATCATTATAGGAACAAAACATAGATTATGTTTACACACTAATCGATCACCATGATACATATATTGTATAAAAACCTGGCCGAACAGACTGACCTGCTCTGATACCACTAAACATAACACCCTTATAATCCCACATGTAATATTCATATAATTTACGAATAAAATCAAATAAAATCACCACTCAAAGGTGTCACACTTTATAGAAAACATCATAATAACAATTCTGCTCCGTAACACGGGTTACATCAATAATAATATCATCTTATTATAGCTCAACATAACATTTAAGTCATCGCAGCAGATTCATCATCATAAATAGACTCTTTCATAAAATAAAACTCATAGCATCATAGTCTCAATCAAAAGTTGGAATTTAAATCGGTTTAACAATCAAATACGTCATAATTCATGTCAACATCAAAATAACAGAACATTCTCAAAACTTAGCGTTCCCAACTCGATGTTACATATCAGAGAAAGACACTATTAATGTAGCAAACTTAATAAAACACTTTAAATCTATCATTGATGCTTCAACGAACTACTCTTTGTCACCTGCGTGTCACCCACGTGGAGACAACATTCAAATAGAAAAGGGTGAGTAATTGCAATTCATTATAAAAGATATAAGGAAAAGATTAATAGTTACAAAAAACCTCATCATATAACAACACATTTTATTCATTAACACGTCATACTCCCAGATAAATCACAATAGCACTTAGACATCTTTCATCATCAAAATCATCATATACTCACATAGGTCACAATTATCATTACATCAAAACTCATCAACAAAATTCATGCAAGGTCGTATAGAATGCTAATGCAACAACACTGACACAATGCATGTGGTACAAAAATTTATGAGCTTCTGGCTCATCACCCTCCATAGATCCCCACCAATGGATTGATTCCCTATTAGAACCGAAGCACATCATAAATGAACTCAATCCATACAATATGATTGAGGCTCGTCACAAGCGGACCACTATCAAAAATAGAGGACCATCGTCTAAAAATGATATGAATACATGATGCACAACAACATCATATAAAATTCGACCACGACTAGTCAATTGCATCATCATTCACATAAGCATCATCTCATAGAATGTATATACATTAAACATGCACGTCATTAAAATATCATCACATATAACATCAATTACATCACGACAACAACATCATAAAAACTTCATAACAACTTCATAACAACTTCATAGCAACATCATATTCATCATTAAAACAACACATGTTAACATATTAAGAATATAATAATTCAATCTCGTAAACACCTAGGTACGGGAATCATGCATCAAATAACTCATATAACTCTGTCATAATAAAATTATGTGTGTTAGCTTCCCAACGCTTCGAACGATGCATCAAACGGAGTTCTAAAACTCAAGTTATGGCACTTTGAAAATATTGTCAGGTATGCTCGCCTAAGCCTCGCTTGGCGACCCTGAGAGTGCTCTGCTCGCCTGGAGAAAGGCGCGATTGGGACCATTGTTGCCTTGCTCGGCCGCCAATGCTGGGGCGACAGGCCCCTCCCCATACATTTTCCAAGAGCTCTTGTTTTCCACTTTTTTGCTCGCCGCTTCGCTCGCCAGATGATGCTTGGGCAATTGGAAAGCCCGACGATGCGTGCAATTTTTGCCACATCGCTGTTGTGTTTTTTTTTACTATTACAGATCATACCAATTCTGATTCCAAACATTATACTCATTCCAAAAATGCATTACAGACATCATACATCACATATTAACATCAAAATATACAATCACATCATATTGGACACAAATCATAGCATACAGACATCATAAATCAACAATTTTATCATATATTTCATCAAATCAATCACATAGGACAAAATCTACATCTACCTTAACCCTCTATCAATCATAATAAACTGAGATTATACCCCTTAACTCTAATTCCTATCAATGGATCCTTTTCTTTGCGTTCTACAGAATCCTCCTCTTGGTTCTCTGTAACCCCTAGCCTCTCCTCACATTTCTCCCAAATTACGATCATACTGAATGATCTCAATTCCTCTAATTTATCTTTTTACTCCTTGGACCCTTTTTATTTTATTCTCCTTATGCCATCACTTATCATCATATATTACCATCACGCCCTTATTCTTCTTTTCACCTTAATATATATTATTTAATTATTAATATAAATTTAAATAACATAAACTAAATTATTTAAATCTATATTATTCTAATTAACACCTTAGTCCACCACTACCCCGCTACACACCACACACATCACAAAGTTAATCACCAATAATTCATAAATAATCAATTAAATAATTATTTCTAAATTTCGGGGTGTTGCATTACCCAAGTGTATAAGGTAAAATATACATACAATATGAGCAAGAGAGGTCTATTGACTGAAATTCAACATCTGTTGAGTCTTATTCATGACGAGAAATACATGTTCTGAATCAGAAGCATTTTGAAAAATAGAGTCACTCTATAAAGAAAGATTTTTCGCTGCTTGGACTAATAAAGTCACTCACTAAGGGAATACGACAATGAACATGTACATCGATATGACTTTGAATATGGATACATTACTAATTATCTAATAATGACCTCCTGTTTCTATTTATGTTTTTTAGAGTTGAGTCTGCTCACTGGAAACTAAAAAAAAGTTGACATCTAGCAGGGGAGATTTATGTAGAAGTTAGGATATTGTGAACACCATGTTGAAGTTGCAATTAGGTTCAAACAAAATATCATTTCAAAAAAGTATTACCAATATTGAGCATTA